TCCTAAACATAGGAATATTTGATGCATTCTCCATATTGGCGCTCAGTGGCATTATAACATCCTCAGGGTACTGTTTGGCACTTTCAGCACTGACGTCAGAGATGTCGCGGCCTTGCTGTTTGGCGCTCTTGCTAGGGTGGCTGTCTTCAGTCCTGGCCGCGTCTTCAGGGGCGTGCCTCTTGCGATTGTCTTCCGGATGCGTCGGCGGGGAGGAGAAGAGGCGACGCTGCGGATCCTGGAGGCGGGGCTGAAGACGGCCCTCCTGCGCCGCTAACCTGTCAGGAGAGATGACTCCACTTGCTCCACTGCCGTTGCTCAGGCTTGCTGGTGATGCTGCTGCTGCTGATGCTGCCTCGTGCTGCATTCCCGGGCTGACTCTGGCAGCAACAGTAGCACGTGCGGTGGTGGGGGAAGGAGTGTTGGAAGAGGAGGACGAAGAGGAAGAGGAGGAGGAGGAGGAAGCGGAGTGGCTACGGGGAGGAGGTGACATTCCGAGATCGGAGGCTTTGGAGGAAGGAGGACGGGAGGCGTTGAAGGAGGCGCCAGAGTTAGTGTAGTCTGTGGAGGGTTAGTACAGCCATTACCAAGCATGCAAAGGAAACTAAGAATAACTACATGCAAACCGCGCATGAGCTATGACAGTTGTATGCCATGCAATTAAAATTTAACCTTGGGAGATGTAGTCGTTGGAATTTAGAAAAAAGCCCTAACAATTAAAATTATGTTAGTATGAAAAATTTTGTCATTCCTGATGTGCATTTCTTTGGTTGGTGGTTCAATTTCTTCGAATGTTAAAATGATATGGCAAATTACTGTACGCCCATGCCTACATGTAGTATAACCAAAACAGTCACTATTCATTAACATACTTCGACTTGCTTTACAGATATATCATTACCATGCAAATCTAGAACTAGGAACATCGCAATATTTAAAACTTTCGACTAAAGTGATTGTAGTGCTGATACTAATTCTAGCAAAATGGTTAAAAAAAACTGATTCTGCAACAGGTAATGGTAGAGGTTTCAAAATATGGACATTCTATCTGGTGTCTTTAAAAAATGAATAACAAAACACTTCATTGCAAATATAATCACAAACAGCTACTAAGAGGGAAAACGTGCAAGAAAATCTTCCTCGATTTATCAGGGTATAAATATAACTATCATGAATGAGTTAAAAGACGAGCTTCTGCTGAGTCTGGAGGATCTCCCCCAAGTCACTCAGGAAGTCGTTCCAGTCGTCCTCAATGTTCCCTTCGTCGAGGAAGTCCTGCGGGGCGGAGACGGACTTACCTGAGGCGGAGGCCGGAGGGGGAGGAGGAGGAGGGCACTCTACGTCTGGCGGAGGAGGCAGGAGGGGGCTGGACGCCCGCTGGTGCTCTACGCTACTCAGGGACGAGACGGAGCTCACGTGGGACGAGGTGGGGGAGGAGGGGTGCGCCTCCGGGGGCTGGGGGGTGGAGGAGGAAGGGGGGGAGGCGGGCTCGGCTTCCCCGTTCACTCGAGGTTTCGCGGCTTCTTCGGAAGCCTTTGTTGGCTGGGGGGTTTCCGCTTCCTCGGGGATGGCCGAGGGGCGCGCCGCGTCGTCGTGCTTGGCGGGAGCGGGCTTCGGCGGCGGCGGGGCGCGCCTCTTGCTCCGGGAGGAGGCCAGGGACAGACTGGACGTCGACACCACCGACGTGAGGTTGGTCGCGGCGGCGCCGGGCCCGCGGCTCGTGTCCAGGCTGCTGATCTCCGAGCCGGCGGGACTGCAAGGGGAGGGGGGGTTAAAGACGCGTCATGAACTGCCAGCCAAGCAGAGCCTCTTTCACAGCTGTACGGCGCGTGAAATTCAATATTCAGTAACCATGAACTCAATAGATATAACATATATTTACAATTACACCTTATCTCTCATGAATTAAGAAGAAAAAGCACCATCGTTCTCGTCCCTCCCAACACACCCAGGCGTTCTCTCTTTCCGCCTTCACACCCACATCTTCCCTCACGTCTCATGTCTTTTATGTACATCTCACATCTTTCCCTCACACCATCCATGCACCCTTCATATTTCAAATCTCACTCTACTGATCACATTATCTCCTCTCTCTCCTCCCTCCTTCCTTCCTTCCTTCCCTTCCTTCCTTCCCTTCCTCCCTCTCTCCCTCCCTCCTTCCTTCCCTCCCTCCCCTCCCCTCCCACCCCCCTCCCCCACGCAGAAGGCCCCCTCCCGTACCTGGTGTGAGGCGACCTGTGCTCCGACTCGTGGTATCCTGACGAGTCCGAACTGCGCCGCGACAGGTTGCTTCCGCCGCCCTCTCGCCGCTCGTTCTCCGCCTGTGCGAGTCGAGCGGAAAATCGCTAAGTCAGATGAGCAAGATATTGGTGAAGTAAAGCAGACTAGGAATGGAGTGCGAAAAAGGAAGCTGGTTTGCGAGCGAAATTAAGAGAATAAAAACATATGACTTATTTTTGAATGAAGTGAAAAATGAGATGAATTTGTCAGTTAGTTCAACAATGAGATGAATATACAAACAATGACAATGGGATGATTTTATAAAAGGAATAAACGAGATGAAAAAAATGTGAGATGAAATCAAAATGGAAATTATTTTGTGATTTTTTATTAAAATTAGACGAATAAGCATAATGAAAATGGGATAATTTTATAAAAGGAATAAATGGCAAAAGTGTAATATACGAGTAAACGCGACACATCTGATCATTACGAAAAAAGGTAAATAAACTAATATGAATTAAATAAAACGAATAAATAAGGATGGCAATAAACAAAGCAAATAAGGGGCCTAGTAAATAGAAAATAAAATAAAATATAAATAAGATATAAAAATGAAATGAAAAGCATGTAGATATAACAGATACAAGTCAATACATAAAATTAAAGACGAAAAACAAATCAGAAGAAGGAAAGACACAAAGCAGATAATCAATCAATGTACAACTGAAAAAAAAATGATAAGTAGAACTGAATAAATATAGTATTAGTTAACTACAGATAAACAAAGTAACAGAGATAAGTGACTCGCCGATCAATGTGATCTTATTATCATTATCTTTTAAAGATTACGAGAGTTACGTGATGAAGTGATGGCGTCATATTACAAAACGTAATTTTGATACTGAACATTATCTTTGCACGAAATCGCCCTTATCGACATTTTACCTGTCGTAAGAACGGTCAAATGATCGTCGTATTACTTCTGTATTCACAAAAGTCATCAATTTACCCGAAGTCGCCATATTGGCCAGAAAAAGTCAAAGTGCCAGAACCCGTTACCCGAAGACGCCGTCACAGCGTGAGCGGACGAACCCACCTTGCCATTTGAGTGGTGCGCGGGCGCCGCGGCTGCGGGCGGAGGCGCTGCGGGCGGGGGCGCGGGAGCCTGTCTCTTCCTGGCCCGGGCGAGGTTGAGCGACGAGGCGGGCCGGGAGAGGGGCGGCGGCGGGTGGCTGGAGGTGAGGGTGGCGGAGGACGAGGCCGGGGAGAGTGGGCGGGGGGTCGGCCGCCCGTCAGCCGATTCGTCAGAGCGGGCGGGGCTGACGCTTCGCTCGCCCGCGCTGCCTGACGACAAGCTGCTGTCACCCGTCGACTGTCAGGGGAAAGACACTCGTTAGTGAACCTGTCAGTGAGGCATTCGTAACGCGCCTGACGCAACCTCTTGCTGTCTCGAAAGAAATCTAATATAGGCCTAAGTCATACTTTAACAACCACGAATATAAAACATGAAACCCAAGTACAAACAGTTTAATGCTGTCGTATCACATACACGTAACAAAAGACAGAACAACTGAGAAAATGATATATAACACATATTGCATCATACTAAAAAAAAAGCCAAACAACTGCAAGTCTTCATACGCCATTAAATAATGTAATTGAGAAGCACCAACATTTATTTACAGGAAATCTTGCACTACTTCTAAGTGTGTGAGTAAGCGTGTTTTTTGTAAGGGAAGATTCTCACCACAGTTTCGGGACAGGGGAGATAACAAAGTGTCTCTTTAAATGGGCATATATCACGTAGGCCGGAGCGCTTTTATCTATTGTAACCAACACCCGTAAACAAACCGATAAACAAACACTAGAATGAAGGAAAATATCTGCCAACGTCAACAGACTACGTCATTCCCCAAAAAACGTTCTGGAATGCCAATCTATTCCTCATTCCAACAGACTCTCCCACCTAGCGCATTCCGACGTCTCGTTTGACTACGGAAGGAAAAACGACCCCTGTCATCATTACGTCTTCACACAAAGCCACCGACTCTTCCTCGAAGCTTCCAAGTTGCGCAGAGGGAGACGAGAAGCCCCGAGAAGCCTGCCGAGAAGCCTGACGAGAAAGGACGGCGCCTCCAGGTGATGTTTCGGGTCCGGCGAGACCCATGTTGTATGTGGCGATAAGATAAGCGTAATCGTTTCGTGGAGTCGAGGTCGAGGGCGTGGTCTAAAGCCCGCCCCCCCCCCCTTTGGCCCTTCTCCCTTCCCCTTTCCTTCCTTCTGTCTTTTCCTTTCTTTTCTGCCTATTCCCTTCTCTTCCTTTCCCTTTGTCTTTCCGTTCCTCTACCCCCTTCTCCCTTCTTTCATCTTCCTCTTTCCTTCTCTTCCTTTCCCCTTGTTTCCTTCCCTTCCCATCCCATCCCATCCCTTCTCCCTGTTCTGTTCCCTTCCCATCCCTTCCTCCTTCCTATTCCCAAACCTTTCCTTCTCCCTCCTCCTCCCCCTCCCTCACCCCAAGCCCCTACCCATGTGCCACACCTGTCCAGCATCCGGGGCAGAATGTTTTCAGTCACAGAACCGTCCAACACAAGAAACAGGGGAAAAAAATACTCGTTTAACACATTCTATTCATCTTTAGCCATAAGATTTTGAATACCATCTTTAGCAGGTTTGGTCAGACTTCTAGAGAAATTTATTTAAAATTTGGAGTTTGACAATATAAAAAAAACAACAAAGGTTGAAACACCTCACAAGCGGTGATGATGATTCGACCCCCACCCCCTTCCCTCTCCACTCTCTCTCTCCACCCCCACCCCTCTCTCTCCACTCTCTCTCTCCACCCCCACCCCTCTCTCTCCTCTCCTCACCCCCTCCCTCTCCACCCCCACCCTTATTCCCTCTCCTCACACCTTCTCGCCTTCCCATCTCCTCTCTCCCCTCCCTCTTCCCCTCCCCCCCCTCCTTCAGAGCGCCAGCCAAGGTGACCATCAATTAGCGCAGGTGGCATATATGACGCGTCTTCCGGCCAGCCAATCACGGCGAGGCAGCTGTTCACTCCCCCTCCCCCTTCCCCCCCTTCCCTCTCCCCTGTCTCTCCCTTTAACATCTATAACAATAATAATAATGTTAATAATAAAAATTACATTGATGATTAACAACAATAATAATAACAATAAACAATAATAAACAGAATAATGACGATAATAACGGTATTGATAATGCTGATGGTGATAACTGTACTGATAACAGTAACAGTGATAAGAGTATATAATGGCAATAAAAGTAAAAGCAAAACAACAATGACAATACAAATGACAACAATAACAATGATAATAATAATGATGATGATGATGATGATGATGATGATGATGATGATGATGATGATGATAATGATGATGATGATAATAATAATAATAATAATAATAACAATAATAATAATGATGATAAAGGATATAATGATGATTATGATGATAAAGGTAATGAAGCTGATGAAGATGATGATAACAATGCCAATACCAACATCAACAACAAATGCAACAACTCTAATAAAAGAACAATAGCTCTCATAGCCTGGACCTCCCCCCCCCCCCCCGACCACCACGGCCTCAAACGACCGATAAATCAGCCTGAGAAAAGCCGCGGCGAACTACCCTCAACAGCCTGACGACCCTTTAACGACCCTGTGACGCCCATCGCGGCAGCTGCATCCGGCGGTCGTGTCGTCTGTTACGATCCTTCCTTCTCTCATTCCCTCCTCCTCTTCCCCTCTCCTTCCCTCCTCCTCTTCCCCTCTCCTTCCCTCCTCCTCTTCCCCTCTCCTTCCCTCCTCCTCTTCCCCTCTCCTTTCATCCTCCTCTGCCTATTTCCCTCTCCTTCCATCCTCCTCTGCCTCCTCTTCCCCTCTCCTACCATCCTCCTCTGCCTCCTCCTCTGCCTCTTTCTCCCCTTCCTCCTCCTCCTCCTCCCCTTCCTCCTCCCCTTCCTCCTCCTCCTCCTCTCCTTCCTCCCCCTCCTCCTCCCCCTCCTCCTCCTCCTCCCCTTCCTCCTCCTCCTCACGCTCCTCCTCCTCCTCCCCCCCTCCCCCCCATCCCTACACTATCCTCTCCTCAAGGTCGACACGCATTAATGTCACCCTTGTACCACACCAGGAAGTGGAGCGAGAGCACGAGGGGAGTTCTAAAAGGAGGAGTTAGAGGGGAGAAGAGAGGGAGATATGGGGAGGGAGGAGAGGGAGAGATGTGGGAAGGGAGGAGAGGGAGAGATGTGGGGAGGGAGAAGAGGGAGAGATGTGGGGAGGGAGAGGAGAGGGAGAGATGTGGGGGGAGGGAGGAGAGGGAGAGATGTGGGGAGGGAGGAGAGGGAGAGATGTGGGGGGGAGGAGAGGGAGAGATGTGGGGAGGGAGGAGAGGGAGAGATGTGGAGAGGGAGGAGAGGGAGAGATGTGGGGAGGGAGAAGAGAGGGAGATGTGGGGAGGGAGGAGAGGGAGAGATGTGGGGGGAGGAGAGGGAGAGATGTGGAGAGGGAGGAGAGGGAGAGATGTGGGGAGGGAGGAGAGGGAGAGATGTGGGGAGGGAGGAGAGGGAGAGATGTGGGGAGGGAGGAGAGGGAGAGATGTGGGGAGGGAGAGGAGAGGGAGAGATGTGGGGAGGGAGGAGAGGGAGAGATGTGGGGAGGAGGAGAGGGAGAGATGTGGGAGGGAGGAGAGGGAGAGATGTGGGGGGAGGAGAGGGAGAGATGTGGGGAGGGAGGAGAGGGAGAGATGTGGGGAGGGAGGAGAGGGAGAGATGTGGGGAGAGGAGGATGGAAGAGGGAGAGATGTGGGAGGGAGGAGAGGGAGAGATGTGGGAGGGAGGAGAGGGAGAGATGTGGGGAGGGAGGAGAGGAGAGATGTGGGGAGGGAGAGGAGAGGGAGAGATGTGGGGGAGGGAGGAGAGGGAGAGATGTGGGGAGGGAGGAGAGGGAGAGATGTGGGGGGGAGGAGAGGGAGAGATGTGGGAGGGAGGAGAGGGAGAGATGTGGGGGGAGGAGAGGGAGAGATGTGGGGAGGGAGGAGAGGGAGAGATGTGGGGAGGGAGGAGAGGGAGAGATGTGGGGAGGGAGGAGAGGGAGAGATGTGGGGGGGAGGAGAGGGAGAGATGTGGGGAGGGAGGAGAGGGAGAGATGTGGGGAGGGAGAGGAGAGGGAGAGATGTGGGGGGAGGGAGGAGAGGGAGAGATGTGGGGAGGGAGGAGAGGGAGAGATGTGGGGAGGGAGAGGGAGAGATGTGGGGGGAGGAGAGGGAGAGATGTGGGGAGGGAGGAGAGGGAGAGATGTGGGGAGGGAGGAGAGGGAGAGATGTGGGGGGGAGGAGAGGGAGAGATGTGGGGAGGGAGAAGAGGGAGAGATGTGGGGAGGGAGAGGAGAGGGAGAGATGTGGGGGGAGGGAGGAGAGGGAGAGATGTGGGGAGGGAGGAGAGGGAGAGATGTGGGGAGGGAGGAGAGGGAGAGATGTGGGGAGGGAGGAGAGGGAGAGATGTGGGGAGGGAGGAGAGGGAGAGATGTGGGGGGGAGGAGAGGGAGAGATGTGGGGGGGAGGAGAGGGAGAGATGTGGGGGGGAGGAGAGGGAGAGATGTGGGGGGAGGAGAGGGAGAGATGTGGGGAGGGAGGAGAGGGAGAGATGTGGGGAGGGAGGAGAGGGAGAGATGTGGGGGGGGGAGAGGGAGAGATGTGGAGAGGGAGGAGAGGAAGAGATGTGGGGAGGGAGAAGAGAGGGAGATGTGGGGAGGGAGGAGAGGGAGAGATGTGGGGGGGAGGAGAGGGAGAGATGTGGAGAGGGAGGAGAGGGAGAGATGTGGGGGGGAGGAGAGGGAGAGATGTGGGGAGGGAGAAGAGAGGGAGATGTGGGGAGGGAGGAGAGGGAGAGATGTGGGGAGGGAGAAGAGAGGGAGATGTGGGGAGGGAGGAGAGGGAGAGATGTGGGGGGGAGGAGAGGGAGAGATGTGGAGAGGGAGGAGAGGGAGAGATGTGGGGGGGAGGAGAGGGAGAGATGTGGGGGGAGGAGAGGGAGAGATGTGGGGAGGGAGGAGAGGGAGAGATGTGGGGAGGGAGGAGAGGGAGAGATGTGGGGGGGAGGAGAGGGAGAGATGTGGGGGGGGGGAGAGGGAGAGATGTGGAGAGGGAGGAGAGGGAGAGATGTGGGGAGGGAGAAGAGAGGGAGATGTGGGGAGGGAGGAGAGGGAGAGATGTGGGGGGGAGGAGAGGGAGAGATGTGGAGAGGGAGGAGAGGGAGAGATGTGGGGGGGAGGAGAGGGAGAGATGTGGGGAGGGAGAAGAGAGGGAGATGTGGGGAGGGAGGAGAGGGAGAGATGTGGGGAGGGAGAAGAGAGGGAGATGTGGGGAGGGAGGAGAGGGAGAGATGTGGGGGGGAGGAGAGGGAGAGATGTGGGGAGGGAGAAGAGAGGGAGATGTGGGGAGGGAGGAGAGGGAGAGATGTGGGGGGGAGGAGAGGGAGAGATGTGGGGAGGGAGGAGAGGGAGAGATGTGGGGGGGAGGAGAGTTTATTCACCTATTCATTAGTTTGATAACGTGTATGCAGCATCTTTATTTTCCCATTACCACCTACACGTGACTAAGAAACATATAACGAGAATCCCAGGCACGTGTTCCGCAGGTGTTACGCAGTCGTTCCTCGCGGTACCTGGCACTGACCGTACGGAGCACTTCCACCACTGACCCCCTCCCTTCCCCACACCCCCTACCCCCTTCTAAACTCTCCCCCCCTTCCCTGTATATCATGTCCCCTTCCGCGCTGCATAAACATTTTAAATGAAAATCGAAACATCAATATTTACCGTCAAAATGCTCTAGCAGATCACTCCACCTCCTTACCTATCAGCCCCGATAAATCGGACCCGAACTGCTATTAACTAGTTCGGTGTGGGCGTTGGGAGGGGGGCGAGGGGACCGAGGGAAGGAAGGGGGGAATAAACATATTTCTATGACCGCAACCGTGTTCTAGTCCATCCCCCTCCCCCTGGTCCACTCCCCCCCCCCTCTCTCGACCAACTTTCTCTACAACAGTGTTTCCCAAACTTTTCGTCAATCACGTACCTCCTTGAAATTTTGCGACAAAAAAACGCGCACTTTTTCGTCATTTTTATCGCATTAAATCTACACTTTTCGAAGCACATTAAAAAAAAAAAAAAATGAAATGCAACACCGTTTCCTAAATCCCGCAACACCAACAACATCCCCATCTAATGTAATCAAATCAATCACAGAAACACATACGATAAAGAGTCCACATATACCAGCCTCATACCCTATATATAAATATAACGAAACAAGAACATATCAACAAGGAGGTGGTGGGGGTGGGGGTGGGGGTGGGGGGGTATATCAAATTATTCCACCTGTGTGCTCCCCCCTCCCCCCCGGGTTAACTAATGACACACGGTTCATTCAGGATTTGTCTCCTATCGGACTAACAGATAAGACGACCTGTCCACTCTCCGAAATAACACGTATCAGGTGAAGTAATGTGTTTCTCTGTTATCGATAATGTCAAGAGGTCGTACGGAAAAGATTTCTTAATTGACCCCCGATTAAGGCAGCCAAAAATGTGGATCCGTAATTAACAGAATAAATAGGTCTTGTTGCAATGGACACATTTCAAGCACTCGTTATCTGTCAGTCAACAAACAAGTGAAGGCAAAGAGATGGAGGAGGAGGAGGAGGAGGAGGAGGAGGAGGAGGATGGAGAACAACAAGAAAGAGGAGGAGGGAGAAAAGTAGGAAGAGGAGGACGACTATGGGGAGTGAGGGAGGAGGAGGAGGAGGAGATGGAGAAGGAGGAAGAAGAAGAAGAAGAAGAAGGATAGGCTAAGGAATAGGAAGAAAAAAAACTTCATTGCCACCTTGCTACTTAAAGGAAGCCAATATGGAAGCTCAACCTGGCACCATCGCCTCAACATCCCCCCCCTGCCCCCCTCACCTCTCACTCGCCTCTTCTTCCCTGACTCCCCCTCCCCCCTCACCATCACCTCACCATAAGATAAGCGCTTGGCATCTTAACGCATTCAGCATCTTAACTCCGGAAATATTTTGATATGGAGACAAAGGCCTATTGAAACAATCTATAGGCCTGGGCGCAGATAAGGAGGCACCGAGGAACGTAGTAGAAAACGAAAGAGGAAAGAGAAGTAACTCATAAAGAAAATATTGTTAACTACAGCGACAACGTATAAAGAAATAATGATAATGATAATAAAAAAAAGAAATATCGTCATTATCAATAACACTATTATCAGTATCATTATTATAATTATTATTATTACCATCAACCTTAATATCACCATAAACATTATTACTATTATCATCATATCATGATAATAATAATAATAATAATAATAATAATAATAATACCAATAATCATCATCACCATCACCATCATGATTATTATAACAATAATGACATAGTGATAACCACAATAATAATCATAATACTAACAATAATAATGAAAATAACAACAAATAACAATAATAGTGACCAACAACGACACTTCCCCAGCCCCGAATCCGCCCCACAAAACGCCCATCGCAGGACTAAACAGAGTACAATGGAAGGAGAAATGAAGAGCCTGTTGAAGGGGTCTACTTGTGCCACTTAGACCACCTGTTGCCTTGCGTGGCTGCTGTTTAGCCGCGTCCCCATCAACTCATCACCTACTCCCCCCCCCTCTTCTGGTCAACCCCTTCCCTCCCGGACCATCTACCCCTCCTCCCCCTCAGCTTATCTACCCTTCTTTCCCTCCCCACCCCCGCTAGCCCATCTTCTACCCCTCTCCCCCCCTTCCCTCCTCGTCTACCCATCTACCCCTACCCCTGCTAATCCATCTACGCCCCCCCCTACTCCCCATCCTTTAATGTAAACAAAATTGTGAAATGATTCCTTATTGTTCAACGCAAAGAGCAGAGAGTCGGTGCCTTGTAATTCTGTCAATGGAGTGGGTCAGAGTTGTATTAAAAAAAATGCCTTATCTACCCTGCTACTGCTACCTTATCTCACAGTCACTAATCAGATAACGCTATCAAAATAAGAGAGAGAAAAAAAAAAGACTAAAATCTGACGAGTTCAAACATTAGTCAGACCGTCATTTCTCATAATTACTCACTCCGGTAAATAAAAAAATGCAGCCAATGAATAAAGGGCAAAGCAGCTTCAAGTTTTCTCTCAAGTATTTCCACCTCGCCCCGTCCTCGAGGCCTTTTAGAAGAGAGAATACGAATACTTACACATTACTTACAAAGGCATATAAGTACAGCTACTGAGTACACAGCGCTACGGTACTTCGACTTACTTAAAATGACCTACAGCAAAGGCAAGGAAGGAGCATCAACCGCCGCACTAGTTCTCTCGCAACCCCCTTCCCCTCACTACTGCGACCGCGGGGGGACCGCAGGCGCCTCTCAAGGGGCAGAACCCGACCCTTTGATGAAGGATAGCACAGCAGGACCGGGAAAGGGATCGCGGACGCCTCTACGGATATAGGATCCGACCTGAGATGGGGGATAACACAGCGGGAGCGACGCTACGAGAGAGAGGAGGGCCTAACACGCCTCTACGGGGATGGAATCCAACTCCTAGCCAGCTGAAGGATAACACCGAGTAGGACTGAGGTCGTGGCCCAGGAAGGCCGGCGCCGGATGCCTGTACCGGTCATGGCCCGCGACGAGCGAAACGACTCACGAGGGGCAGACAGGAGCAGCTCAGGCGGGCCGCGGCGTCGTCGCTCACGTCCAACCGCTGGGGCCACTTCGGGAGGAGTGGCTTCAGTCCTCTACGGATCTCCTACAGCAGGAAAATCTAAACATTTCTACTGTCTCCACGAACAAATCGTCCTTTTTTTTCCCTATCCTCTGATGACACAATATTTGGACAAAATGTAAATCACCTCAGACAGAAAAAAAAAAAATCTAAAAAAACAATAAACCCCCTACACACAAACCCACCCAATATAAAAAAGAAACAAAAACAAGAAAACAACAAAAGAAAGATTACAACCACCTCCCCCCCCCCCTCCGAAAAAAAAGATCCCCGAACTCACGGATTTGGTTTTCCTCGAGAAGAGCGAGAGGAGCGTGCGTCGCTTCTTGTCCTCCGGGTGCGAGATGGCCGCCATGGTGATGAGGTCGGTGACGGAGAGCGGCGGGGCACGGAAGTCCCGCGGCACCACACACACCTCCTGCAGCTGGTAGTCGGCGAGGGTGCAGCTGCCGCGTAGCTTCTCGTCCACGTTCACTGCGGGAGGGAGGGCGGAGGGTGAGCAATGGAATCAGAATAAAAAATATTATTAAAATGAGAAAGAGTAAAGTTTGCTGCGGGGGAGGGAGGGAGGGAGGGAGGGACAGGTAGGAAGTAAAAAAGGAGAGAGAGAGAGAGAGAGAGAGAGAGAGAGAGAGAGAGAGAGAGGAGAGAGAGAGAGAGAGAGAGAGAGAGAAGGGAGTGGGAGGGAGGGAGGGAGGGAGGGAGGGAGAGGGAGAGAGGGGAGAGGGGGAGAGAGAGAGAGAGAGAGAGAGAGAGAGAGAGAGAGAGAGAGAGAGAGAGAGAGAGAGAGAGAGAGAGAGAGAGAGAGAGAAGAGAGAGAGAGAGAGAGAGAGAGAGAGAGAGAGAGAGAGAGAGAGAGAGAGAGAGAGAGAGAGAGAGAGAGAGAGAGAGAGAGAGAGAGAGAGAGAGGGAGAGAGAGAGAGAGAGAGAGAAAGAACGAAGTGTGAGAGAAAAACATAATGAAAAAATTAAAGTTCGCAGCGGGAAAAAGAAGAAAAGAGTATAAGGAATTAAAGCTCTTTACGAGAGAACGAAGGGAAATAATAAGAAATAAAATGATAACTCGACAGGCATTTGGAGAGCACAGACTTCCGGCAATTACTAAACTCAGTGACGGTAATGATACGTTGTAATAAAAAAATGAAGTTGCATTAATCAGTAAAGACATAAGAGGAAAAGCATCATAGAAAAATCAGTGATAATTTACACGAGAGGAAATAATTAAATCTAAACGTATAACTCCATAAAACAAACAAACAAATAAACACAAGCAAAAAAAAGGGACTTTAAAACTATCGACCGATAATCGAAAAACGAAAAAACCGACCCAAATCCAAATAAAACGCCCGAAAACGTCAACACCACCGGCGCGAAAAGAACCGACCTTCGAAACCAAAAAGGGGAAAAAAAATAGTGAAAGTCAATCTCGTGCAGAATTCCCACGCTCATAGAAATCTTCTCTCCCCTTTCATCCTTCTCCTTCTTCTCTCTTTCTTTTTCTTTTTATGTTTCTTCTTCTTTCTTTCTTTCTTCTCTTTCAAAAATACATGGGGGAAGTGTGTGTGTGTGTGTGTGTGTGTGTGTGTGTGTGTGTGTGTGTGTGTGTGTGTGTGTGTGTGAGAGAGAGAGAGAGAGAGAGAGAGAGAGAGAGAGAGAGAGAGAGAGAGAGAGAGAGAGAGAGGAGAAGAGAGAGAGAGAGAAAGAGAGAGAGAGAGAGAGAGAGAGAGAGAGAGAGAGAGAGAGAGAGAGAGAGAGAGAGAGAGAGAGAGAGAGAGAGAGAGAGAGAGAGAGAGAGAGAGAGAGATAGAGAGAGAGAATGAGAGAGAGAGAGAGAGAGAATGAGAGAGAGAGAGAGAGAGAGAGAGAGAGAGAGAGAGAGAGAGAGAGAGAGAGAGAGAGAGAGAGAGAGAGAGAGAGTGAGAGAGAGAGTGAGAGAGAGAGAGAGAGAGAGAGAGAGAGAGAGAGAGAGAGAGAGAGAGAGAGAGAGAGAGAGAGAGAGAAAAGGACGTGATGAGAAAAAGGGAAATGACAATATAGAGAGAAGGAATAAAGAGTAAAAATCAAACCAAAATAAATAGAGGAAACACTCCCCCCCCCCCAGAAAAAAACAGGGACAGGTAAGAAGTAAAAAAGGATCAGTTGACAATAAACACCAATAAATAAATGACAATAAAAGAGAAACATGTGAATAATGAACACCTGCAAAGAATACACGGAGAAAGTGACACAAAAGGGAAGAGCGCGAAAGCAAGTATACAGAGGAAAAAGAACAGGGAAAGGAAAAAATAAATAAAAGCAGCGAACTGAAGAATAAGATATGAAACCAAAATATCTCAATAGATCCGAATTTGCATATTCTAAGAAAAAAAAAAGGTTCATCACATCAAAACGTAAACTGTTTTGAAGAGTCTTGAAATCTGCCGTTCTCTTCCCCTTACGTGATGTGATGCTTATAAAAATCTTAATATTATCTCCCCTTTTTATGCTCCTTATCATATTTGTTATGCTATCGTTTCTTCGGAGGACCAGATTTTTCGACAGGGAAATTATCGTATTTATTGCTGATTACATAAACACAAATAATAATAACGGCAGTGTTAATGAAGAACACAAATAACACTGATAACAATAACAATGAACAACAGAATAATGTTGACTACAATTCCAATGCGAAAGTAACAAAAGAGAAATAAAAGAGAGAAAGGAAGTAATGAAGGAAGGAAGAGAGAGTGAAAGCAAGCCTTCTTTCCCTCCCTCTTTCCTCCCATTCTTGCCCCCTCTACCCTCTCGTCCCTTCTTACCACCCCCTCCTTCCCCCTCCCTCTTCTCTCTACTAGCTCTCCCTTCCTTCCTCCCCCTCCAGTTTCTCTCTCCTTCCTTTCGTTCCTCCTCCCCTCTCCCTCCTTCCCTTCCCCTCTCCCTCCCTTCCTTCCTTTCTCCCCTCTCCCTCCCTCCTTTCCTCCTCCCCTCTCCCTCCCTCCTTTCCTCCTCCCCCTCTCCCTCTCCCCCCCTTCCTTCCTTTCTCCCCTCTCCCTCCCTCCCTCTCTCCCCCCTTCCCCTCCCTTTCTCTCTCAGTCCTCCCCCTTTCCCCTACTCGCTCCCCCTCCTTCCTTCCTTCTCTCCTAGCTTTCCCCTCCCTTCCCCTTCCCACGCTCCCTTCTCGCCCCCCCCCCCCTTCCTTCCCACGCTCCCTTTTCGCCCCCCCCACCTTCCCTTCCTGCCCTCCCCCCCTCTCCTTCTCACCTCCCCCCCCCTCCTTCTCACCTCCCGCCCCGCCACCTACGAGTCGAGGTCATCCATCATACCGACTCGCAGACGGTGGTAACGAGTCAGGTTCTCTCTCGGTGTGGAATCCGTGACCCTCCCCCCCCCCCCCTAAAAAAAAGAAAAAGAAAAAAAAAAAAGAAAAAAATAAACACACGACACGACACGACCTGTGAATCATGAAATTACGTAAACCTCCAGCGAATCACTGTTTTAGGCACTGTTCTCGGGAAGGCCCTGATAAGCCAGTGCCTTTGTGATCGCAGGTGGATGGACGAGAGCCAGCTGCGACGTCAGGAGGGTCAGTCTGGCATCCCGCAGGAGTGCCACGAGTGATGGTGATAAAAGCAGCGAAAAAGAAATCGGTAGAAACAAGAAAGAACACAAATGATAGAGAATGATAGGAAAGAAATAAGAAACACAAATGAAAAACAGAAATAACCAGATGAATAAAACTCGACAAAAACCTTCACACAGGAGCCAAAAAGACAATAACCTGAAACAAATAAGCAGATATTGCCACACACACACACACACACACACACACACACACACACACACACACACACACACACACACACACAAACGCACACAACACACACACACGCACAAACACACACACACACACACAAACGCACAAACACACACAAATCACACACACACACAATCACACACACACACACACACACACACACACACACACACACACACACACACACACACACACACACACACACACACACACACACACACACACACACACGCGGGCACTCACGGCACCTGTTCCAGCGAGACTGTGGCACAGGGCATGGGGCCTCAGGCAGACCCTCGAGCCAAAACAATGGCCCATTACACATTATGCTTCCCCACGTCTTTCTTCAAACTTTTCTTGTTTCTCCCTTCGTCCGTCCGCTTTTGCCACCCTCTCCCCTTCCTCCCTCCCCTACATGGTAAGAAAAAGTGAGGGGAGAGGGGGAGTGGGGGCGGGGAGAGGGATATCCTGTATGTAGATTCTGCAGAGAGGGAAGTTCATGGCGAAGTGTATAGGCCTATATACAGAAGTCAGCAACTTACGGCCTCTACGTGAACGCGATCGGTCTACACTTTTACGTTCTCGCATCTAAGTTCACACGTCACGATTTACTTAAAAGGTATAATCTCTGCGGCGGTATGCCAACAAGAAAAAAAAAACTTTTCCATGTACATTTTCCATGAAATGCCACAGCAAACCACACAATCCCCCCATTAGCAAAAAAGAAAGAAAGAAAAAAAAACATGAATAAATAAAAATAACAAATCGATAAAATAAAATAATAAATCAGCCTTATGACGCCTAATTAAACGCACACGGAAATCCTTAAGCAACACACCCTCAGATCCTCGGAGGCAACGAGACCTCAAATAATAATAACGGCGAGTGCACTTGAGTCTCCTGTTTATAAATCTCCACTCGAGTTACGCCGCGATCGCTGCTCGACTACTCTCGCCAGGCCACGGTGCGATGGCCGACGCTAACACGCCATAATTCTGTTATCCGTATCGCTTTTATCTCACTGATACGCCTTTCTGAAGTCCTTATCGCCGTGTGTCCGATACAGGAATTCATCAGAGTATATCGGAGAAAATACTTATGAAAATGGGGACGAGAGACGGTGCCATATTCCCAAGTCATTACCGGAGAAATGAAACACGCCAAAAAGAGAAACAAAAATAAAGCACGATCTTCCCTTCGACTTACGCCTGTGAAGTCACTACAAAAAAAAAAACGATATCGAATTCCTTCATTCGATTAAAAGACAACAATTTGTGATAAGGTGATGACGTCACAGCTCGGAATCTCAGGACGCTCAAATTACGGAGGTGAGGAGAGAGAGAGAGAGAGAGAGAGAGAGAGAGAGAGAGAGAGAGAGAGAGAGAGAGAGAGAGAGAGAGAGAGAGAGAGAGAGAGAGAGAGAGAGAGAAAAGGGGGTCGCCGGTAGAGGTGAGAATTGGAGAGAAGAGAGAGATGGGGGGAAAGAAAAGAGAGAAGAGGGATGGTAGAGGAGAGAGGAGGGAGAGAAGAGAGCTGGCGGGGGAGGGGGTGGGGGTAGCTATAGGAAGGAGAGAAAGAAGAGATGGGGATAGGGGGAAGAGAAAAGAGAAATAGGGGGGGAGGGTAGCCGGTAGATCGGAGATGGTGAACAGAAAAGAGAGATGTGAAGGGAAGGCAA